TGATATCTTGGGCGACTTGAAGATTTGGGCGAGACTTTGGATGACCGTATGCCACTCTATTCGTTCAGACTCTGAGCGACTTGTAAACTTGGACGATGGCGTTACCGCACTATTAGGCCCCTTATTTGGGCATTCACCTTGATTCGTTCAATTGGATTTCGTTCTTTGGGCTATCTGATTTGGGGATTCTCCAATTGGGCTTTATTCTCTAGGCTGTTCGATTTGGGCTGAATTTTTATGTGTCAACAAATCGTTATTCGATAACATATTCTTCTAAATTATTAAATCCATCACGCATTGGCTTTGAATTCAAGCAAAATTCAATCTTTACTGGTACTAGGAATCTGTCCACCGTACGCACCCTATGGAGCTCCGGCCGAAGGAAGCCTTCTATACTCCGTATCAATGCTTTTCTATCGGATTTCCCCTCCAAAACAGCCCCGAACACCGTATGTACACATTCCCTTTTTGTTTTATTTATTTGAATTAATATTAATTTTTTTTTTCTCTTTTGCTGGGTAATTCTTGGTGAAAGGGTTCGGCATCAAATGGCTACGCGTTCTTTTCCACAGAAGCAAAGCCAGCACCGAAGGAAGCGCTTACGAGGTCGTTGAAGAAAACTGACGCTTCAAGAGACCAACTTCCAGATACTAAAATCATCGCAATTCTTGCAAAATATATATGGACGAAGGATAATCTCGAGTTTCGACTCCGTGTCATTGCTGCATTGGGCCTCTTAGTTGGTGCAAAAGTAATAATAAAAATCCTATCTTTGCTTTCATGTTATTACAGATGTAATCACAGTGTACAGGTTCTTTTTTCATATGTTCCTTTTTTTTGGAGCTGTGTGTAGGTGTTGAATGTTCAGGTGCCATTCTTATTTAAGCTTGCTGTTGATTGGTTGACAACTGCAACGGGCAATGCCAATGCTCTGGCCGAGTTCACTGCTGCTAATTCAACTGTTTTAGCACTTTTTGTTAGCCCGGCTGCCGTTCTGATTGGATATGGGATAGCACGTTCAGGGGCTTCTGCTTTTAATGGTAACATTTTCAGTAGGAATTTTTAACTACTTTGCTCTGTTTATAGTTTTCCCCCTGTTTTGTAGCATGAAAAAAGCTGAGGCAATGAGATTTCTTGTTTATATATATTATTATTATGGTGGTTAATGCACTTTGATTGATTTTAGAATTGCGAACTGCGGTGTTCTCTAAGGTGGCATTGTGCACAATTAGGCAGGTTTCCCGGAAGGTACATAATGAAATTCCGCCACTCTTTTCGCTCGTGCTCAATCTGTGTTTATGATTTATATACTGTTAAGGAACAATTAGTGCATGATGATAAATTTCTGATTTCCTTTTATGTTGAAGCCGTGCTCAGCGATCACCATTATCCTTGCGATCTTCTGCACGAACAGCTTATTTTATGTTAGATAAAATAATTATTTTCAGACGAGTGTAACAAAAGCAAAAAATGGAGGTCAATGCTGGTAATTTGACAGTGGTTAAAATAAATCAAGTTTGGTATTGCCATGATGTTAACCAAAGATTAGTAAGCAATAATTAATGTCTATGGACTTGAGTGGGAAATTAATGGAGAAATTGCTTGCCTGTTAGTTTAACTGATTTATCATGTGTGAGTTGATTCTGGTGTTGGCTAATGTTGAAGTTAAAACATTCACGTTATTCCCGTGTGGAAATAGCTAAGTATGTATGGTTAAACAAAAATTGCTATTCATCGTGTTATTTTAAGTAACAAATTTTCAATGTATACTTCAAAAAAGTTGCATCCTGAATTCTTTTCATTCTAACATAACTGACTCCATCTTATGCAGGTCTTTTCACATCTGCATGAGCTCGACCTACAGTTTCACCTTAGGTATTTCTTAAAAACTTTTCCTTAGAAAAGCTTTGACTTCTGGATTCCCTGTGGTGCACATTGATTCCTTCAATAGCATGTAAATGAAACTAAAATTTGATTGCATACTTTCTTTACCTTTTGTTGTCTTTGTTAAATTTCTCTCCCATTTTCTGTTGCTTAATCCATTTTCAAAGTGCTTTTTTCTTTTTTTCTTCTTTTTCTTTTTCTGTGACTGAGGGTTATGCCTTCAGTCGGTGGGTCCTAATAGGCAAAGCAGACCATTCTATGATCAAATATCTCAGACTTTTGCTTTTTACTGCTTATTTACAACATGAGAAGAATTGGTACAGAGCAATCAAATCAGAATACAGCACATGATGCTTGCGATGGCCTCAGAATATTTTTTTAGGATCAAGAGCTCAATTAATAACTACTATTCATTTTCAACGTCTTTCTTTCTATTTGCAGTCGTGAAACGGGTGGTCTTAATCGAATAATTGATCGTGGTAGCCGTGCTATTAATTTTATTCTTTCATCCATGGTCTTCAATGTTGTACCAACAATATTAGAGGTATGGTTTGCGTTCCTGGCCTTTTTTTTCTTACTTGTGGATTTATGTTTATTTCTTCTGGCAATACAAAAATTTCAATGGTATTGATGCTTTCATTTTCTGTTTTCTAATTACGATCTTAACTGCTTTAGTGTTTTTCAGATATCAATGGTGTCCGGTATTCTTGCATATAAATTTGGAGCACCATTTGCATGGATTACATCACTCTCTGTGGCTGCATATATAATTTTCACATTGACTGTGACACAGGTATTATTCCTTCTTCTATGCCTCCACTGATGTTTCTGGTATCATCCATTATTTCTTGGAAACGGAAAGTTTTAACTTTTCCAAAGAATGTAGTGTTCTCTATATATCTTTCCCGTTCTTCTCTCATTATTCCAAAAATTGTTGTTTCCCTTCTCCCGTAAGTTCTTCAGCCTCTGTTTCTGTTCGTTGTTTTTCTATATTTTTTTCACCAAGATGGGTGTTATTTTATCAATAATTTTACCAATATTTTTCAACACAAGGCATCACTTTCCATTTCTTTTTATAGTGGAGAACAAAATTTAGGAAGGAGATGAACAAAGCTGATAATGATGCTAACACAAGGGCAATCGACTCATTAATTAACTATGAGGCGAGTTCATAATTGTTCTTATATGGGAATTCTTTCGAATTTTGATGCAGTATTGGTTACTTGTATTCCAAATTAATGGTTAATTTGTATATTTTCTTTTCAGACTGTAAAATATTTCAACAATGAGGCTTTTGAAGTTGAAAAATATGATGAATTTCTGAAAAGTAAGTATTTTGAGATTTAGAGAAGGCTTCCTTTATATTATTAAACCTGATCTTTTAAATGTTAGTCAAGTGAACTTATTCTCAATAGACAGGTTGTCCATAACAATTAAAAAAATGTATTTTTTGTTGGGATTAGGAGGCGTTATTAAAGCCATCATTGGATCTTATCAATGGGTGAAGTTTTAGAACTGATTCTCGTAATGGTTTGCGAACACTGATCTCTTTGACAGTTTTGCAATTCTTTATGTTTAAATTCTATATTTAATTAAGCTTGCTATACATGGCTGGATGGTAGCCATTGGAATAATATGGTCACCTCGTGAACTGGGATTGATGCTGTTGGCTTTTTCTTCTGTTGTTGCAAAATATTTCATTTGAGCTGGTCTGATCTTCAAAACAGCTTGGTCTGTAAAATGCACTAAATATTAGTCAGATTGCATTTTGCAATGGTTCTGGGGGTCTGACAGTAGCTTAAAATGATTTTGCGTTCAATTGCTTGTCACAAAGTGCTGATTTTTTTTATCATGTCTTTCCTCCTACTCTATTCTTTGCAAGTCTAATAGATCGGATTCAAATTAATTATTGGCAATATAATACGTTTCAGGATATGAGGATGCTGCCTTACAAACTCAATGGAGCCTTGCCTATTTGAACTTTGGCCAGAATTTGATATTTAGCACAGCACTCTCTGCAGCTATGGTCTTGTGTTCCCAGGGGATTATGAATGGCAACATGACTATTGGTGACTTGGTAAAACATCAATCTTCTTACTCTTTTGCTTTACATATTATAAAATCCAGAAAGAAAAATGCACTTCTACTGTCAGCATGATTGATGATATTGTTGCCTCCACTTTTTTACCTGTAGGTCATGGTAAACGGTCTACTTTTTCAGCTGTCTCTTCCACTCAACTTCCTTGGAAGTGTTTATCGGGAAACAGTTCAAAGTTTGGTTGACATGAAATCCTTGTTTCAGTTACTAGAGGTATCATCATCTCATTGATTGCCTTGCATTTCAGTTTATAAACTCTCAATCATCTTAAGATTAGTGTGCTCTATATATTGCCCTGAATTAGTGGCTTGAGCAATGTGTAGATCAATAAGGTGAACTGTTCCCCAAACTGCAAGAGAGGAAAAGAGAGCCATTACACTCAAGTCTCTTTCTTGGATTTTGGTTGAAGTCCTTATCTGATTACTTTTCTTCCTGGAAATGTCTTTAAGGAACAAAAGAAAGTAGAATTAGTTTTTTTGTACTTTTTCGGCTTAGATGTATGACTTCACATAGTCAATAATTTTGATTCTCATGAAGTTGAATGCTTTCACCTTTCGGTGGAAATGAAGAAGGAATGGAGGGTAACTATGGCTTGTCAGTGATGTATATAAGTACATTGTGAAGCTCATCTAGAAGATATCATATGAGATTCATCAATTTAGAATGCACTTACCAGGTTTCACGAAGGTTTTTAGCCAATAGTACTAGTAGGTGTTAATAAAAAGGAAAAGTTGATTAGAGGAAATGAGAAACAGCATCGCCTATAGGAGAGGAAGTACACAAAAAGGAATAGAGGGTGTGGCAGTTGACTTTGGAGGTTTACTTAGATAAACTAGCTTCAATGAGGAGAATGGTCTACAAAGAGTCCTTAGTTTCTTGCCTTTTTGTTTTCTCTCTTTTAGGTTTTTCTATCAACATTATGGATTTGAGAAGTTTAATTATATATCTAGGCTGTCAAATTATGCATTTGCAAACATGACTTACTGTTGAAATTTATTTTTAACTAATATGTATGGTTGGGTAAAATGTGATTTGTGAATTAATTTTTTTTTACTGCATTTATGTGTTAATTTGTTTCTATGAGTAACATTGAAAGATTAGAGAGCTCGAGTCTTCTCTCAATTTTTGTACTTCTTTTTTCTTACGATTCTGACCATTATATGTTTCTGATTGATATCTTCAGGAGAAGGCTGATATTAGGGATGCAGATGGCGCTAAGCCTTTGAAGTTATATGGCGGTAGCATTCAGTTTGACAATGTCCACTTCAGGTGCACCATAAATTCTCTGGTTGGTGTTTGTGGCATGATGGCAACTTGTAAACAATGGAACAATACAGGATCTTTTGAATCATCATGCTCAAAACTCTTGCTGACAGCCATCCATTAGGGCTGTTGAGTGGGACAAGGAAATAAGCACTATATCTTGTGTGCTGTAAAACAAATTATGTTATCTGGTGAAAATTTTTGTGAAAAGAAGGGAAAATTGCATGATTGGTACTCATCCTATGGCCTCTATAGTATGTTGGTCCTCCTCCAACTTTAAAATGGTACATTTTAATGCTCAACTTCTCATTATTTTAATCAAGTTTTCTCAATGGATGGATGGAAACTATCCATTTGACCATTAAAAAGTAAATTTTTTTATTTTTGTTGAAAAGACAATTACACTGTTATTTGGAGTTAAAACAAAATAAAAGAGGAGTGATAGAAAAATAAAGGAAAGAAAAAATAAAAGAAAGCGAACCTTGGGGGTGCAATCCATGAGGAGGGATTGGGGTGTGAGGGGCTAGGATACGTGTTTGGAGAGGATGACTCTATTTTTTTTTTTCACTCTTTTATTTAATTATTATTAAAAATATTTGTGTTCAACCCATTTCATCCTCACAATAGTGCCCCCACATTCTTTGTGCATACCATTTTAATTGTCAAACCGACAATTTCCATCCATTGGGATTACTTGTGCAACAATATTAAGAGGTTGAGGACCAAAATGCTCCGTTTTAAAATGTTGGATCAACTTACTAAAGAGGTCTTAGGTTGGGACCACCTTTGCAATTTCCCCCTAATAGGGAAGTTATTTGGACAAAGAGAAAGGAAAACTATTTTTATAGGAAGAAATAGGGATCGGGATAGTGTAGACATCCTTGCAACATTTGCCCCATCTACAGTCCCATCATATCACAGGATTTCAAAATATAATCTTATTTGGTCTTGCATTTGCATTTTTCCCTGGCATTACGCATGCAATCTATGACTAAAGTACTTTTCATCAGCACTTGATACTTATACTTGATGGATCATTCTTTTAGCATTACATCTTGATGATTTCATCTTTACATGTTTACCCCATGTACAGTGGTTTTTGTGGATATTGTACAATCTGGAATGATACCCGTCATGTGTGAAATTTTCTTCACATTTCCACTTGAATGGATGACTATGGTCCAGTCTCCAATTTTTGTAATTGCTTTGTGTAATCCTATTATTTGCAAGTGTCTTGGATAAAAGAGTCTTTGCAATCATGTCCACACATAGTTTCCTTTTTGTCTGTGTGTAAGGTTTGCATAGAATCCTGAGGTTCTTTATATTTGATTTAGAAGATCTATACAAGAGTCTTCTTTGATGCCCATTTCTTGTTCTTCTTATGTAGTTATCTATCAGAAAGGAAGATTCTTAATGGGATATCATTTGTTGTTCCAGCTGGGAAAAGCGTAGCTATGGTTGGAACCAGTGGCAGTGGTAACGTTTATGTCATAGAAATTATTTTTGACATTACTAGCTCTATCCTTTATTTGAGTAGTTGACTATTGTTACCTCCCTTGAGGCTTGTTTTCATGATCTTATGTCCTACTAAAATGGATAAAGTATCTCTGTTATTTTGATTAGCTAGTATCAATTATCAAAAGCTGCCAAGACTACTTGCATCGCTGCTAAATGTTATCACTAGACTTTTTGATATGAGATCTGTGCATTAACTGTAACAAGTTATAAAGAAAAAAAGGGGACTTATATGGGAAAATTATATTATCTAGGAGATCCAAATCCAGATGTATAACATTGAAAAGCTCCCTTCCCTGAGATTTGTTTTCCCTTTCATTTAATTGAATATTCACCTTGGATGGACTGTTTTAGTGACAAAATGGATGCTAAAAATATTGGTTACGATAAAAGATTGCATAAAGTTTACAGAGATTGATAACTAAGAATTAATTTAAGTTTTTAATACTGACCAGATATGGTTCAGTTTAAATTTACTAATACATTTTAGCTAAACCGTTAGCCATGTTTCTTGTGAAGACAGAGTAAGAGAGTTTTGCAATGGGATTTTTGCGCTTGTTATTTGGGGGAAACAATAATATTATCATCCTTTTGTTCTAATTTTTTATGTTTTTGTGCTCAACTATTCTTCTTTGTTGCCGTTATATTTGCATTGGTTTAATATGCAGGCAAGTCCACCATTTTGAGATTGCTCTTCAGGTTTTTTGATGTCCATACTGGAAATGTAAGAATAGGAATTTTGGTTTCGCAAACCTTATATATAACTCATGGGTGTAGTTGTTCGGTATAGAAGTTTATTATAAGCTACTATTTCTTCTGATTTGAATTGTCCTTCTGTAGCTTTATGTCCTTTACTTTGGTCATTGATAGTTTCTATGTTTAGCTAAAACTGATCATAATGCTATTCCTCTTCAATTGAAGTTATTAGGAAAAAGAAATTGCAAAGGGGAATCTCTTCTGCTTTATATTGAATAAAAAGTATATTGTATAAATAGCACCAATTTTGAATCTTAGTTACTTCTTTAACATTTCAATTTTATTGCTCTTATTTTTCCATATTGAATGCCAGTAGCAACTTGACATTGACAGATAAATATAGATGCTCAAGATATCCGGGCAGTAACACTTGAAAGCCTTAGGAAGTCTATTGGTGTTGTTCCACAAGATACTGTGAGTTTGTAGTTGTACAAGGAATTCACTTAATTATTTGTTTCTCAATATTCTTAGGCATGTAAGAACTTCTTATGAGTCATGATGGATACTTTTGTTCTGCTGCCAGGTACTATTCAATGACACTGTATATCACAACATTCATTATGGTCGTCTTTCAGCAACAGAGGAGGAGGTGTTATATGTTAAATCACCTTTCTTTATCAGCTTGACAATTCAAACACTTTGTAACATTAGTATTTGATGTCTTAGATTAGGTGTATGATGCAGCTCGGAGGGCCTCAATCCACGATACTATCATGAAGTTCCCGGAGAATTATTCAACTGTGGTGGGGGAAAGAGGACTTAAGGTGGGATTTTAATTTTTCCCTCTCCACCTTACTACCTACTTAATGGAACCATATTTTTTGATTTTCTGAAGACTTATTTATACATGTAGGTAGTAGTTTTGCTGGATATACGAGTTTCTTCCTCTTTTTATATGGTCTAGTGCAAAGTTACATTGTCCTGATTTTTGTAGTTAAATCTTGTTCTTTTCTTCTGTGTAGTCATCTAGCCAGATTATTGGATTTGTAGAAGTAATTATATTTTACCCCTACAACTGGTTTCTAAGTTGCATCTTTGAAAGAGAAATATGTTATATCAATCATCAGCTGTGTTGCTAAAGCTTTTTATCAAAAGTTGTATGGTATCTGTAGATCAAGCACGGGTTATGCGGCCAGTGATACGAGAAGCCATTTTATTGGGAATGAATATTTAAAGTAGTTAGCCTATATGACTGATTCGTGTATTATTTGGAGCTAATTCCATGGGGAAATTATATGGCTCTTTTCTCTTCTGCAGTTAAGTGGTGGTGAAAAACAACGAGTAGCACTAGCGCGTGCATTCTTGAAAGCACCTCCTATACTGTAAGTATTTTTTGACATTTCTGACTAATTAATTTTTCAATTGATGTCATTACTGTAAAAGGATTACACATGACCATTCTTTTCACTTTCGTTCATAAATTGTCTGTAGTTTGGAGAACAAGAATTGAGTTGGCAAATAATGAATATAAAAACTTTTTGGTCCCTATGAATCTTGAACCCTAAAATTTTGGCTTCAAATAGAAGGCAAAATTTGGAAAGAAGTTCACTATTTGAATTTATTGAAGGAATTGATCAAGAATTAGTCGTATATCATTAGATTAGAAATTAGCTTGATGCTTTTTTTGTTTGACGTGCTTGGCCATTACACTCAATGGCTATCATGCATTTTCCGTCGTAGTTGTCTTCTCATTACAGCTGATGCTTCCTTAACATGGGTTGAGACTTATTTCTTTTCTTGTAACCATACATTTTGTGTTCTTATTTTTAGTGATGGTGCAGGAGAATTATCTAGCCGTTTGTATTTGTTTGCCTTCCTGTCATATTTATTTAAGTTTTGATTGCTTGACAGGTTTAAAGCATTCTCTGCTATGCTTTCTATATTCATCTTTGAGGAACATCCTACAGAGCTATTTTTTATTGGACAATCATTTTTTTAAGTAACAAATTTATCAATCTTCTTGTCAATCTTGATTCGAGTATTAGCTTTTTTCTTGTGTTACGGAACTTATGTTCACAATTAACTGAATGCCTGTTTCATGTTTGCACATGTAATTCTAGAGAATAAATGAACAACTAGATAAGGAAAAAAAAACCTTTCTTTTTGTCATAAATTTAGTATATGTTTTAAGGGCTTACTCGAACTAGTGGTTGCATCATGCTAAGCATTTCTTTGTTAGACACTCTTAGAGTGAAAAACTATTATATTTCTTGAAATGTGTATCTACAAATCAATTCATTTTTGTGCTTTTAGGTTCTGTGATGAAGCTACTAGTGCCCTTGATAGCACAACAGAAGCAGAGATCTTGGATGCATTGAAATCTCTTGCAAATGATCGGACGTCAATATTTATTGCTCATAGGCTTACAACTGCAATGCAGTGTGATGAGGTACGCACTCTAGGTAGCCAATATCCATATCCTGTTGGGTCCATGGTTATAGCTTTTCTCCTGATCCTTTGTCTTGTTTCAAGGAAAACGTGTTAGTTTTTAGTTACATAATACCTAATAAATTACACTATAATGTGCCCCTGTAGCCTCCTTCCATCTTATAAATTCATATTATTTTCTTTGCATTTTTTCTACCCTCAGCATATCTCCCCTTCCCCATCTCTCTCCTTAAAAAAAAAAAAAAAAAAAAAAAAAAATTAAAAAAAAAAAAAAAAAAAAAAAAATATTGAAAAAAAAGAAAAGCTATGTACTAAAGAATGCTCTGGCATTTAGGCCCAGTTTGAACTGCATTTTTTCAAAAATATATATTCTTATACAGTGATTTGACATCATTTCAACTACATATTTTTCAATAAAATAATATCACACGCAAATCCAAAACATTTTCTCATTTTTTAACTACACATTCTCCATCAATCTACTATTTCAAAATACATTATTTCAAAATAATGTGGCTCAAACACTTAAGGGGGTGTTCTCTTTGTATTTCAGTTTTGTGTTTTGAGTTTTAAATTCATTTTGAGTGTTTGTTTTGAAATTGTTGAAAATGTTTTCTTTTTGTTAGTTTCTCAAAACAAAAAAAAACGAATTTTTTTTTTTAAACTTTGAGAATGACTACACCACCACCTCAAAACACCAAAAAAATAAAAAAATTAATTTTTAATTTTTATTTTTTGAAATTTTGAGAATCACCACACCACCTCCCCAAAAAAAAAAAAAAAAAAAAAAAAAAAAAAAAAAAAAAAAGGTGTTTCCCGCTTTTTGAATTTTTTCAAGTTTTACACTGAAAACGCCAAAACGGCAAAAAAGTCGTTTTGTGTTTTCTTTACAAATTTTTTTTTCGTTTTCGAAAATGGGAAAGAGAACACGTTTTCACCGTTTTGAAAAATCGAAAACCGAAAACGGTAAAGAGAACATGGCCTTATTTTTTCCTATAAAGTTGCATTGAATGATGTTAGGTTGAATCTTTGGCTCTTTATCCTTGATATGTTGGGATAACAAAAACAAAAAAAATTCATGACATTTCATGCACATTTCCTAGACGGGCCAAAAGAAATTTCATGTACTTTATATGCATTTCCATGTTTTCCCTAAAATGGGGGCTTATTTTTTCCATTAGCTAAGACAGATTTCAGTATTTTAAGGATTCAAGTGATGAACCTTGTCGTGCCATTTCCTATCTGTTGAGATTTCCATGACTTGTACGTTGCTAATCTACTTTCCTCAATTCCAACTTGTTTCCTGTATGCTGCAGTTCTCTATTTAATTATTGCATTATGCATATATTGTTATGGATACAGATTGTAGTTTTGGAGAATGGGAAAGTCGTAGAACAAGGACCACATGAGGTTCTCTTATCAAAGTCTGGAAGATATGCACAACTTTGGGCACAGCAGAATACCACTGTTGATTCCATCGATGCCTCCTTCAAACTAGAGGCATAAATACCCATGTACGAGGGGAAGACGGGAGGTTTCCCTCCATTGAATTCTTGCTTGTCATGTAAATTGGATCATTCTCCTAATAATTTCTACAAGTGTATATTCAACTAATATATTCCGTTTTGACTTTCACCTTGTAAGTCAACTAATTTTTTTAATTCTTGAATGACCTGTGCTCTTCTGCTTTGGTACCCTTCACTTTTAAATAATTTGTCAGAACTCATTAGCCTTCCTTCTCATTCTCTTGGTTGTACTTGCCTTGGAGGTAGTTGAACTATGATTTTAAGAGGGAAGATGATGTGATTATGTGCTAAGAGCATCTCTGATGCATTATATGAATTGCAGTCTACATGGTAAATATATAGAAAACTTTCAATTTACGTGGTATTGATGTCTAGTGAATAGATAATCGATTTTAAATTTTATTTTTAATAGGTTCTATCGATAACTCAATTTCATCTAATTAGTATCTCATATATATATATGGATGAGAGAGAAATAATAAATAGGAGAGACAAAGGACATTTAAATTTTGCTAACTCGCCTCGGAGTCTTTAGGTCTAAGTCTTTTTCACAATGTTCAACTTTTTTATTGTCACATTGGCTAGGATACCACTCTGAGTGCGTTGGAGAATATATATATATATATTTTTAATAATGTCTATTTTGTTAATGTGATACATTTTTCCCACAATCGATCCTAGCATTAGAGATTCTCTAATTTTAACCACTATTTCAATTTAAAATGAGGTTTAAGGAACTTTTACATGGAAATTAAATTTACAAAATTTACCATTTTTTTCTTAAAACTTTTCAGATCCTGCTGTTACCTAAATATTGAAGTATGTATTAGTATTCTGATAATTGGCTTTTTACAGTAATTAATTGTTATACACTTAGGGTGTGTTTGATTATATTTATTTTCTCTGGAAAATATCAGTTTTCTACCCAAATTTCTACTTGAAGTGTTTTATTGCTATTTTTTTCCATGGAAAACATTTTCCAACTTTTGAAAATATGCCTGATTTTCCTTGTTTTTAAGGAAAACATTTTCCTTGGGTAGAGGTGGTTTTTATTTTCCACAAAAGATGGAAAATATTTTCTTTTCTAGGTGATATTTTCCATGTCAATTAAACACACTCTTATTGTTTGATCAGTATAAAAACTTTCTTACCTAATGCGTTCCATCTAAATGATATTCATCACAGATGATGAATAACAATATTAACTCTTTTTTGTAACAAAGACCATTCAATTCAAAAACTTACATGTTCGCAATTAATAAATATTTCCTAATCAATTTAATAAATCTAATCAATTTTTATTATAATTGGGTTTTAATTTTAGATTTTGTTTTAGACGGGGTGAATTATTTGGTATCGAGAAGAATCTCTTTATGATATCTGTAGTGGATATATGGGTAAATCTACTTTAAATGCAAAATCATCTCATGGTTTGACTCACTGTAACAACTTTGAATGTCATTTTGCATCAATGGAATTAAGGTCGGGTCCAAAATTATCCTAATAGCGAGATTATTGAGTCTATGCGATAGAATGTGTACATTCGTTCACACAAGGTATGTAATATTATATAATTTAATATGTATATTATATTGTTCTTGAAATTGAAGTACATAAAATAATTTTAAGTTATTATATATATTTTTAAAGATATTGCATCTTGTTGCCTAATTTATTATTTGTTTTCTCACTTTATGTTTGGCTATATGCTCATTTGTTTTATGGATATGTCCACTAAACAAAAGATGAATATGAGATTGTTGTATGGACTTGAGACTCTTGTAATATTGGAGATGGAGCTACAAGTTTTTCAAAGGAATATAAACTCAAGTTGATAAACTCCCCAACTCTAGAAAAATCATTTCTTGAAAATCTTGAACTTGAGAAGAAAATGGACCAACATTATGAATTAAAAACATTCCAAAAATTGGGAATCTCTTCCCTCTTTTAGGATCGTACAACGATAATATACAAGAAATTCTTGATAAATTTGGCATAATCCGGACTTACAATATTAAAAATGGCCACATTTGGTGTATTTCATCAAGTTATAATGAAACCATTCTTTACAAGTTTTGGAGTATTCTTACTATGATTTTAAGATTCACGGGGAGACATTTTCTTGTGAGGATGACAACAATCTATATCTCATTCTCGATAAATTTAGGATCAACTGATTTTTCATCAATAGAGAATTATTTATTTAAAGATGATATCCTTCTGGTCTTTTTATAGCCTCTTGAGCATAATTGAAGATACTAGAAATATTCAAAAAATAGTATTAGAGTCTTGTAGTGAATTCAAATCTGGCTAGGTCCTTGTCAAGGTAGTCTACTCTTCTATAAACATGTCTCTTCTCTAAAGATCTTGTTTCTCCGCTTGTTGAAAATCAAAAGTTTACAAAGGTATGTTAGGGAAAACTTCTCCTTTCTTCTCTTTTAAATTATTTTACACGTTTGTTTGCAAATGTATGTTTATGTTTGTTGAAATAGTGTATGCTTTAATGATGTATGGTTACCTGTTCATAATGAGATGTGTCTATTATCATCTCTTCATATAGATCGACAACTCTGAAATCTCGATTTTACAAGATTCATTTTTTCTCCTTTTTTTTTTGATGCTATACAAGTAGTATTGTATAGGCATTCAACTCATGATTTCAAACTACTTGTTTTCGTTTAAAATAAATGAATTGTACATATAAATCTACATGAGTACCCAAATATTAATTAATGCAAGTTGGTGCGAGTTTTATTTTATTTTTTAAAATATAATTATTAGCTTATGTTCACTACATCTCAACTGTTCATGGAATGGAAGACGCTAGAATATAATGTGTGCAAAACGGCTGAATGAAAATTTGTAGAACTTAGAAATAGGAGAGGCAAGAGAGATTCATCACTCTTTGCTCATTACATATTATCTTGTATTATGGGGATGATTACAGTTAATTCGTATACTGCTTTTTTTAAATGTTTACACGTACTACAATTAAAATATAGAATATGATTTCAAGAATTGACATTATTACCTGTGGTTATATTCAACAATATACTTTTCACGACACTCGTATTAAAGAACCAGCAAATGTATTGGTTGAAATTATTTTTCAATTAAACAATGAATTAGGTGATTAATGTCAACTAAATCGGTGACGATCATCACCAATGAAGAATAACATTACTTTTTTGAAAATAGATATAATGAAATGAAGATGCATCATAATGATATGCAAAAAACTACATTCGATACCAAAAATAGGAACTTGAGAATGTTGATTTACTTATCAAAAATATAGTATAAATTTGATCATATCAAGTTCGAACGAAAAATAAAGTTGCAAAATTTAATAATAATTGAAATATGAATCTAATAATCAAAACAAGAATATTGAACGTCTCATACTATTTTAAAAACTTTTAAATATAGAGGACTAAATGTAATTTTCTAAAGCAAGCATATTTGTTGAAACTTTTGAGTAAGAATCTCACTCGCTGAAAAAACTACTACAAGATATGGTAAATTAAATATGCCCACTTAATAAATATTTCTAAGAAAATTTCAACAATGTTTTTACCCTTTATTATAATTGGGTTTTAGGACATCAATTCAAACACAAACCAAAAGACTTGTTCGACAACAACATTAAACTCCCCATCCACATTATCCTTTTATGAATAACTATAATATATATAATTAAAATAAATTTATAAGAATAATAATCTTAATTTAATTTATTAATTTATATTCAGTTCAATATATCAATTTAATATTATTCAAGGAAATGGTAAGTTAATAAATAAAAAAAGAACATTATTTTTTTCCAAGTCGTTAAAGTAAAAAATATATGACATGTTTAATACACTGAATTATATACAATAATCAAACAATATATTTAAACAAGGAAGAAAAGTGGTGTTGGTGAAAAGGCTCAAGAAAGCCGAATGCTAGAACAGTTTTTGGAGAAAAACCAGTGTACTCTATTTTTATAGAGTACATTTAGAGTATCTTTAAATTTATGAAGTAAAATTTTTCTTACACTTCAATTGAGAGTTTATCATTTGCTCTTATTTTACATTTTTTAACTATCATTTATTATTTTTCTCTCATTTTTCGATTAATATATAATTTTAGATGTCTAAATTATATAAAATAATATGAATAATTTAAGTAGTGGAGAATCGAAACTTATAATTTTACTAAATACAATCATGATAAAATACAAAGAGAGAGTAAGTTTGAATCTCCATGTAGAAAGGCAAACACACTATCTATTTGAGCCCCATTTTGAACAAAAGAATGCATTTTTAAATAGTGACTGATGGAGAATATGTGGTTAAAAATTAAGGAAAAGTTTTGGATTTACGTGTATTATTTTATTGAAAAATGTGTGGTTGAAAATGAATTTTTTGAAGAATGAGGTTCAAACAAGGACATAATCTCAAATTTTTTCTCTTTAAAATAAAGATCATCTCCCATTTTAAGAGTCTCTCAAAATTGATCTTATACCATAAATTTTATTGAATAGGAAACGTCGCCCATCACTTTTAGCATGTGTTTCATAGAAAGACTACGAAGATAGAAAAACATAAGGGCAATTTACAAAAATACCCTTAAAATTATGGAAATTTTTGAAAGTAAAAAATGTTGTTTAAAGTTAAAAAAATGGCACAATGTCACTTTTTTCAAAAAAAAAAAAAAAGTGACACAATGTCAATTTTAAAAGTTTAAGGTTACTTTTATATTAAAAAACGACATACAATCTCACTTATTTAAAAAGTAATGTTTATCACTAAAAAAAAGGTGATAAAATTCCAAGAAGATGACTAAAAAAAAGTGACAAAAATTCGGAAAAAAGTGACAACTACTTAAAAAAGTGCCAAAAATAAAAAAAGTGACGAATTTGAAAAGGAGTCACAATGTCACCTTTAGAAGTCTAGTGTCACTTTTATATTAAAAAATGACATACAATCTCACTTTTATTAAAAAGTAATGTTTGTCCCTTAAAAATGTGATAAGAATTTCAAGAAAGTGACTGAAAAAATGACAAACATTAAAAAAATAATAATAATAAGAATTCAAAAAAGTGACAAAAATCTAAAAAGTGACACAAATGTGACGAACACTAAAAATGTCAGACATTTCTCTCCACATTGACCATTTTGAAATAACTAGTTGCCCTTTTGATGTATTTCT